TTGGGAGTCCATGAAGGCAGTTCTGAGAAGGAGGTTTGTTCATTCAAATTATTATAGGGAATTGAAGATGCAGAGCTTGAGGCAAGTTGATAAGTTAGAAGAAAGGAGTTCATCGAGTTGGAAATCACAAAGGAGATCTTCTGCGAGCCAAATAGAATAACCATTACAAAGGACCAACAGAGATCAATTCAAACCCGAGCTTCAATTCGAGACGAAAGGAAATTTTATAGTCTCGTAAAACTTAAGATACTAATCTTTTCGGTGTTTGGATTTTGATCATATTGCTTCAGATTGTTTGAACAAGCCGTTCATGAATTTATGGTCGGACTATGAGGAATTGAAGAGAAAAGGGTGATTCTTTACCATCACATAGAAATGATGATACTTGTAATTAAGCTTTTGAGGAAGACAACACTCAAGAAAAAATGGAAATTGTTGATACGATAGTTGAGGAAGAGGTAAATGAGAATCATGAGCTCAAGTCCAAGGCGGAAGAAAATTCCAAACCCGCGTCACCAATTGAAGAAAAAAAAGGTTCAGATTGAGAGAGAATTCTCTTAAAGAGGTGGAGAATGATATGATCTAGCCATGCATCGAAGTTAATGCCGAGCTAAGCAAAGTACAAACTCCCATTGTGCATGTTAATGAGATGGCGGTTCCTAGAGAGATGCTTCAGTCATTCTCTATACCGATGTTTGACGCATTGGGGCTTCGAGCTAGAAAACACCCACGTACATGTACACTTCAATGGCTGAAAAATGGTGTGTTCTACGATGTGGTAAATGTGCATGTTAACCACATTGCACTTTGTCGACCATGGAAGTATGATAGTAGGGTGAAGCCGGCAAGATCGAGGAGCATATATACATTTAAGATGAATGGTGGACTTGTTACACTTGCATCTTTTGTCTTGGCTCAACCATATGATGATCAAGATCACACTTGGAGGGATGTCATTAAGCTTGAGAGAAGTGTTACTTTTCTGCCAAAGAGAGAGATCGATAATGAGATTGATTTTATTTATACTCCTAACGATTCTGACAAGCTCCAATATGAAAATTTGGAAAAAGCGAAAGCGGATGAGTTTAACGGAGTTGTTCGTGTGCTGGATGAAAACATTCATACCCAATGATTTGCTTGAAGAATCTATGATGTGGAATTGGAAGAAAAGAAAGAGAATAATTCGACAAGCCGAATCCCATGCATCAAAAAACTCTCAAATGTTTCTAGCGGCGTTACCATTCGGGTAATAACTCTCTCATCTGGATTTCCATTTAAGATGATTCAAACTGCTACAGAAAGCAAAACTGAAAGGTCTACAACTTTCATCTTTCGAGCTAAGAGAGATTCGAAGTGGAACAGTGTCGAAATCGAGCTTTAACTGCTTGCACGTATACATCCAAATGTATACGCGAGTTTAGAAGGGTGATCGGGAAGTCGACTTGATGTTCAAGTTATGTAATTTAATTATGAATGTTTTATTTTAGGATTTATTATGTTTTTATTATTTTAGAGCTATTTTATGGTTAAGATTTGCTTACTTATAAGTTACCTTATTATAGTTTAGGTATGAGTCATTTTTCTTGTGAAAAATGAGTCTTTTTAGGTCTTACAAGGTCGCCAATTTGGCTTATTTTAATGGACGAATTTTGATTAATAAATTGAGATTATTCTCTCTAGTTTTTTAAGAATTTTTCGAACGTATCGGAGGATTCCGTGCCTTCACCCCGACTTATCAATCAATCTTTCACAATCGATTGTGGCTTCTTCACATAGCAAGGTTTTTGTCTCTTTATAGGCAATAGGTCGCGGTTCCACCCCTTTCATTCCTTTATTTTTTGATGTTTTGATCTTACTTCCGTGTAAGGTATTGGATCTCGTAACAAGTTCTACGGGGTTCGTATCACCTAACACATGTCATTTTATAAAGGTCACCAGGGAATAAATGAAGTTATGACTTGAAGGTAAATATAGACTTCATATTTCATGCCATCAAATTCATCTAGAATACATCAATTATGAAATCGAATCGCAAGAGTTCAAAGCGTACTTGAAACGCTTAAATACAAATATTAAGAAAATTATATTGTGTTCCTCGAACAAGATCACCCTTTCACGAACGAACTCAAATCACAAGTTCTTCAAATATCCACATCCCACAAACGATTGACTTTCTACGAGCACCCAAATCACAGATTGTTCGAGTATCATCGCCCCACGTTGTCTTTCCACGATCACGAGAAGCACTTCATGCTGATAACGTGTTGTAAAATGGCCTATTTACTCAAGTTTGTGTTGTAAAATGACCTACTTACTCAATCTCCTTGGTTTGGTGATCGTGGAATGATATAGTAAAGTATATATAAACGACAATGGAAGGAGATAGATAGGGAGAACACAAACAACAAATGCGTAGAGAGATAATTATAGGAATAAATTGGGCAGGGAGTTTTCTCATTAATATAGGATAAAACCACCAAACAGAAGTTACAAGATGTTACAATAGTAGGAAGTTGTAATCTAGTGGGAACTTAATTAACTTTTATCAACGTGGTTAGATATTCGGAGTGTCCATAATATTTATAGTATTTAGCTAATTTTATGGATCATATATAATTACTTTGATTAAGAGAAATATTTTATTTACTATTGTATAATATTCATTTATCATATACAATATTATATAAACAAAATAACGTCGTTTTACATGGTGAGGCACAACAAATTTCACAGGTTGAAAAATAATATGAACTCATTTTAGATCCCAACCCGCGAATATATCTTCTCCAAATCAACACTCATTTCAATTGATGGTAGTATTATTCGTCTAGTTTCAACAGGACGGATTTTCAGCTAGTTCGTGGGTCCAACTTGTTAACCATAGCCCCAATATATATACACACTACAGTGACATGATAAATATTAATGGAGTGGTTCGTAATATTTTGAAGCTAATGGTCACTAAGAGACCAATTTGAAATAGTTTTGCATTTAAAAGTATGATATAAAATGAGGAATAGGACATTGGAAAAAATAAAAAGAAAATAAGAGATGGGCCTATCTTTAATTTGGATGTATATTTTTATCTTGTACCTAAGTTGAGATATGGAATAATTCATGGCCATGAAGTTGCGGGGCATCACAAGTCTCCGTCAGTTTTATTCAAATGCGTTGTCTTTATGCCGTATTGTCTCTAATATCTATATTGCAAGTGGCGAATCTATTATATATCCCTTTTATCATTTATTGTTCTTTAACATATATAATTTTTGTTGGGGAAAAACTAAGTATTGAAAAATAAAACTACGCTACATTTTTTATCAAATGAATAAAATAATATATACTAATTAGATTTGAAATAGTAAGAGCTATAAAATTTCCTTTAAAAAAATAAAAATAACCAGGCACTCGGCTATTTAGATGCAGTTATATAGGTCTTTACTGGTTTATTTTATGCTACACTGGGTGAAATACATCGGGTAGATCTTTATTATTCATATAACACAAACACACACACATACACACATTCAGATTGGTGTGACACACACACATACACACATTCAGATTGGTGTGTGTAGATAAACGGCGAAAAAATCCAGTGTAATCTTTACCGCGTATAGCATAAAAATAATTACTTAACTTCTTATATATTTTAGTATGTTTAGGATTTTATCTTAAATGTTGTAATATTTTATAGTTTTATTTTGAAGATTGGAAACAAATTTACTTGGAATTTAGTGTGTTTGGTATCCATGTGTTACACCAAATTGTAAAATAACCCTCCGTGTTTTAAATATTAGCGAAAAATCCTCATCGTGCGTTTTTGGCACACAATTCCTTAAATAGTGTGTTTTTAGGGATAGTTTGTTGATAAAGTGGAATCATAATTTTATTAATATTATGACCTAATTAAGGAGTTTATTTACAAATAAAGTAAACACATGGTGATAATGCAATAAACGCAACTAAACGAAATAATAGATGCAAGGATTCATAGAGACAAATAAAACAGAAATCATGCAATATATCATTGGCCATGTTTCCTCATTTTAATATAATGTTTGAATAAAATAATTTAAAATTCATAGTTGGACATACGTAATGAAGGAGGTATGATCTTATTCAATTGTGGTGAGGACATGCATCTTGACAAATGTAACAAAATGGAATTGAATTTCTTAAAAAATGGGGTAGGTTTTGTTTTCCCATCACGTTAGCATGATTAGCCAAATATTATTAATACGCAATTTATTAATTAATGGACAGCTGCCCCATATATATATATATATATATATATATATATATATATATATATATATATATATATATATATATTTCAACTTTCTCTATTCCTTTTTTCTTTTGTCAGTTTTCTACTTTTTCTACAGTACTTCAAATCATAGTATGCAAAAACTTCCTAATGTAATATAATTTAACAAATTGTAATGTCACATTCAATTTAAACATGTGTTCAAATATATGGTGAACAGCATATATACAACACCATGCTTAAAAAAGATCTAAAGAAAATCACTATTTATTCATTTTATTGTATGAAATCAAATTTATTTTTTTGTTATTTGCATAAGATTCTCATTCCAGAATTTTCAATTTCATTGTATGAAATCTATAAAAAGTTAACATCGGGGGTTCTTGCAAATTTTTTTAGCACATGGACTTTTTCGACAATTCGAAATTATATAGGAGTTTGTGTACAATTAACTCTAAAGAAATTTGATGCAAATTTTACAAGATAGCAAAAAGAGAGAGATTCCTAACTGCAAGCTGAAGGTACACACATATAATTTTAATATTGAAGCATTAAAAAAAAGGTTCTGACTTGTGATTTGCTGTCAGTTTTTTCTTCCCTCAAAATACTCTGTCTGTCTGTCTGTTTTATGGGATCAATCAATGTAACAAAACCAGGTTGGCTTAAAACCTATAGAATCGCTGCGCTGCCTTAAAATCTCATCATATATATATATATATATATTAACTGGAAATTAAATTCAAAATATTATTTCCGTACCGATCACATCTCACATGTGTATGAATTATTAAAAGAATCAAAATCAATAGTATTGTCCAAACAAATAAATAAAGGGAACAAGGTATTGTATTGATCTAAACACACATGTACAAAACTGTGGAAGTATATTTCTGGTATCTGGTATCTCTTAAAAATATTTGAATCTGTAAAATTTGAATATACCAAGTTAAAGATTAAAAAAAAAAAAAAATTAAAATCTGAAATAAATAATTTGATGGGAGGTAATTATTAGATACTAAACATGTAAATTGTGGAGGTTTGAAGGTTTTGGAAGAGGTGTAATTGCTTCTCTATTAGCAAACCATTTGACTGTTTTTCTTGCAATTGGTAGCCAAAGCCTTCTCATTCTTTCCTCCTTCACATCACTAATCGAATCTCCATTATCATTATTATTATTAATGAATCTTGGATGAACTACGATCTCGGACATCGATCTCTTCTCATTATTCGGATTCAGTGCTTTTGAACTTGAACTTGAACTTGTTGTCGGAAACGCGACAGGAAAATTAACGCGACGACCCTCATCGTCATTATTATTTTTCTCGATTGTTATTCCACTAATAAGCATCTTGCTCTCAAAAGCTCTTTTCCTCTCCATCTCTTGTTTGATAACCATCATCGTCATCTTCTTCTTGTGATCGTCGTTTTGATCGGTATTGATTATTAAATCCACCGATTTCGTTTCCTCAGGAGAAAACCTCGCACTCGAAACATCATTAATCATCTCCGAATTGAGGAACAAGAGATCCGACGAGCTGACGTTGCTCCACCGGCTCTTAAGGACCACGGCTTCATGATTATGATTAGAGACGTAATTAACATAGTTAATCTTGTGATTGAATCTATGAAGTTCTGCAGACTCATTACCATCATCTAATTCCGAACAAGAACCCGTCAATAATTTGCTTTCGTCTTCTTTTATTGGCAATCCCTCTTCCTTATTTGCTTTTCTGAAGCTGCTCCCAATAATACTGAATCTTGATGAAGATCCATTATTATTATTACTATTACTATAACTATTACTATTACTGTTGTTGGAATTCTCCTCTCTCTGAACATACAGCTCGAGATTGGATTCCTCCCTCATACTCAACTGATGATGCTCCGACAAAAACCTCAAACTATCGGAATACGGCAGCTCCTGCGAGAGGTCGTCCGCGCTGACGCGGCGCCTGCAGAGTGGGCAAGTGGAATGCTTTTCGAGCCACCGGTCAATGCAGTCGATGTGGAAAGCGTGTTTGCATTTGGGCAGCAGTCTCAGAATCTCGACATCTTCGAATTTGGCGAGACAAACGGAGCACTCGAGGCCTTGTCGGGACCCCTTCAGGGAACTGAATCTGAAGAAAGGGAGAGATTCGACCACGGTCTTGTCGACGCCGGATGCTGTTGAGGTTGACCGGAGAAGACCATCACGAATAATCAGGCGGCCGCCGTTTGTGGTGTGGACGGAGGAGGATGTGCGGTGGCAGAATTTGGCGTAGAGAAGAAGGATGAATGTGACGGAAAACATGATGGAGAGCATACCAATCACAACTGCTAAACTTGGCTGGAAATTGCTGATGGAATCCTGTGACGGTATCCCTTCTGTGCTGTCTGAAAAATTTTGTGCCATGATAGTACCGATGAAGAAGAAGAAGATGAATTGGAGGATAAATAGTGATGGAGTTTTCATCGTTGGGAAATTAGTTTGGCCGAAAATAGGACTTATCTTTTTGTTTAGAACAAGTGTGTAAAAATAATGTATTATTCAGGGGCGGTTTTGTTTCACATTGTTTTGTTGATTAATCTTTTTTCAACGCTGATTTTGATATGTTTTTTTTTTTTGTCAGATTCCTTCTTCCTTTCGTCATCGCTGGTTCTTCTGTATGCCTTCTGCCTATTCAGCGATTAACAAATATAATATTTGTTTTCCTTTCTCGCAGTTTTTCAAATTTTGAATATTCTATTGGGGCATTTTATAATAAACTCAACCCCAAATATATTTTTAAGAGGATGTTTGGTTAAGTTTATAAGCTGTTAAATAGAGTTTATAAAATGTTTAAGAATTTTTAAGCACTTTCAAAGCTGTTAAATAGAGTTTATAAGCCAAATTCAACATAATCATCTAGATTCCGTGAAATGTGCTCTAGTTTGTACTCGTTTTGAGTAAAAATACAGTTTCCGATGCACCACAAACTGATATATACAAGCTAAAAATCACATATTATGATCATCTTGCTTCATAATGTAGAGATTGAATGGGATAAAACGGGTACAAAAGTGATAATATTCCATATAATCTCGAAGATTCCACTAAATTTGAGGAGTTGAGGGGTGGCTGTAATTATCCAAACAAGAGGGGTGTTTTTGTAATTTGACCATAGCTCAGGGGGTGTTTGTAATTTACTCTATATTGAATTTTGACCCCTAAACAAATTTTGACTGCCACCGCCTTTGGTCGCCGGTCTCCTGCATTGATTTCTTTTGCTGCCGTTCACCAATTATTAACTTTTTTTTTTCTGAAATTTTTTTGCCCGGTAAAACAATAATATTATTGTGTTGACATAGTATTTAACTATTTTTTTGCCTGGAAATGATGCATCGAAGTTAATATTGTAAGTACCTGAAGGAGGTGGTTTCCGTTTCGTCGAGTGATCCATTACTTTGGTGCTACGGACCATCATATTTGATGAATGATGCACTCCAAACCAAAATGCCATCCGTTTCCATCGTCTTTTCGTCTTCATCTTATGATTTATGTTTTTCCAAGTCTTCCACATCACCACATATGCTAGATATAGCATCTCCTCTGTCAAGGCGTGCATAATCCGATCAATCTAAGAATCAAAGAGCTTGGTTAATGCAAAATCTGGAAAAGAGATACTTCAACCATACCAATTTCATTCCTCAAAAGTCTTGCACAATATTCATGATGGTTTCGATTTTATTACATCTAGGACAGAAAGGTGGATTAATAATCATCCTTTTACATAGCTTAGTCTTGTGGGAGGATGTTTACATTAGGATCGTGAGTCCCCGGAGCCAAAAATTAACTCAATCAAACTCAATTTTAGACGTTTTTATTTAATAAGCATAATCATGCATATTAGATTCTCATGAAGCGGGATTCAATCTAATCTAAGGCTTACTTATGAATTTCAAAAATCCTTGTTTGGTGCTTTGATGTTTTCACTTAGGTGCACAAATGGGATCCACGCCAAGCTTTTTGGTTCTTGAAATACTCCTCCCCAAAAAGTGTTAGCCCTCTTCCTTTGCCGATATCTCCCTAATGGTTGATCTGATGGCAAACCACTTTGGAGGAATTGTCGTTCTGGTGGTCGGGAAGCTACCGTTAAAATTCCAATCCAATCGGATGAATGACCAATTTATCGTGAAGTTTCTCGAAGTACTGCTCATAAATTTCGGAAATGAATTTAAGCTCACAAGAACCTTCAATATTTTATTTTATATTCCGAATTAATAATTCTACTACGAGGGTAGGCTTGTACTTGAAGAATTCTAAATATATAATTGATAAATTGAGAAAGAAAAGAATTGAGCATTTTTTTTCCCTAAACATGTAGCACATTATTTTCCATATCGAAAATTCATCTCTCTCCAACCAAGTCTTGTATATATAAGGCACTAAATAGAGTTGTACAAGGAAAAAAAACTACGGAAATAAATTCCTTCTTTCACAAGAATTAGCGTGGACAAATATCCTCCTACGAAAGGGGTTTACTTTTCGACCACTACTTTATTTTATATATCATTGGGCTACAATAGAGACTAATAGAGACTAAGTGAAGAAACGAAAATCCATTGGACTACAATAGAGACTAAAGGAAGAAACTAATTAAATCTAAGAATTCATTTAATTAATTATTAAACAATTATTTATTTTTCACTACTCAATAATTATTAAACTTCCATTTGTATTCTCAAATATTACATTCGAGCTCCGATCGATCATTACTTAGAGTCTCCTCACATTAAGATATCTTATAATCATCATATAAATTAGGGTCCATTTGATATACAACCCTCATATGGAAAATATATACGGATAGGTCCATCCCTAAAAATCTTCCTTTGAGATACCCCCTGGAGAGACAAAAGTATTATTGTGTCCTTATTTGCAATTTTCGCCCAACTACATTCAGCATTTTCACCAACCGCACTTATCATTTTGGACCCGCATTTAGTATTTTTGTAGTGCATATATCATAATGTTTAATTTAATATTTTTTTATTCATGTATACATATTGTACATGTTTTTATTATTGTATTCAGTTAGGTGTGGAATTCAACTTTTATATATTATATAGATTGCATTTTTATTTATATTTATAAGGATATTTATGCATTATGATCTTATTATAATTAAACTTTTATTATGTTATTAAGATATATACATGATGGAGATATAACTATGTTTAAATATCTTTTTTATATATGTTTTGAGTATTTATAAATAATATCTAGAAATATATTATATTAAATTTTAAAAACCGATTTATTCCGAATTATCACCGATTAATCATCACCGCACCGATTAATCGTGAGTCGGTGCCTGACCGCCTCCGACCCGATTACCGTTTTTTACAACCTTGAATATAAGTCATTGATCTACTCCTTGAAGGTGCCAAAAATGTTGGTTGAAATTGTAGACGATTTTTTGGGAATTTGACATATGCATTTCAAGTTATAGTCGACCGTAAGCTGCATAAATTACATTACTACACATTAATATAGTTACATGTAGTAACATATAGTAACATATGCATGTGATTGTATATTTCTCGACATGTATTTGATGGTTACGAGTTGATTTATAATATAAATACATTGTTTGTGCGGATGATTTTTTTTGTATATAATCGGCCATATTGATGTATGTACAGATTGATGTATGTACATAAAAGAAAGAGCATTACGAATGATTATAGTTGACTGTAGTTACTTGTAGATATTTTCAGTATAGTAAACATATAGAAATTAAAAAAAAAAAAAAAATTAAAAGATTAAAAAAAATAAAGAAGTTCAAAAATTAAAAAAATATTCAATATTTTCTTATAAAAAAAACGTTAAAAAGGTAGAATTTGACACCTTAAGGGTGGACGTGTAAGAAGATTCATAGTTGGAGAGGTGGTTGTAATTATCCAAATAAGAGGGGTTTTTTCGTAATTTAATTTTGCCTCGGGGTGACCGTACTTCATATGAAAATATTATATTGATATAAATAAGATTACAAATTCTTGCAGTAACATATAACTCGTAGGATTATACGACATACTAATCTACTATGTAAGATTTGGGTAGGTGGTTGAATTTTTTTAAAAGTGGTTTTTGTGCATAAGTCTCCAACCAAACATCTTCATTATTCTAGGTTTAGAGGCTATATCTCTTTCACCAATAAGCCCATCCATTTAATATTTATTATAAATAAAGGAAACATTTATGTATTGTGATAATATTACCCCCAATCCTTTATACCTAATTCTTAATTGTAACCCAATTTAATCAATTTTGTCCACAAAAAATCAATTTTGACCACAAAAATTCAATTTTGACTTTTTCTTTCAAAAACAAAATTTTTGCCGCCGGGTTCCGGCGTTGACTTTTCGATTTTTTTTTCTTCTGGATTTTTTCACCGCCGGCGTTGACTTTTTTTAGTGTTTTTTTAGTTTTTTTTTTCGCCACTACACGTTGACCGTAATTGTGCTGTCACTGACAATAAATTAACGTTATTATACTGTCAATGACAGTTAATTAACGTAATTGTACTGCCGTTGACAATACATTTATGTAATTGTTCTGCCGTTGACAGTAAATTAACGTAATATTATTATTTTTTATTTTTTGTTATTTATTTTTATTTTGTTTGATTTGTTAACAAGTCAACGTAATTATATTACTGTCGTCGACAGTAAAATAACTGTAAACACAATAATATTACTGTCAACAACATCAATATTATTATTTTCTTGGGTTTTTTGTTTTGTTTGAGTTATTCACGTAATAATATTACTGTCTATTATTGTAATCTTACTGTAAACACAATAATATTACTGTGGTTGAAGGTAAGATTACTGTTGTTATAGTAATATTGTTGTCTACCACATCAATATTATTATTTTGTTTGAAAGTTTTTGTTTGTTTGAGTTATTCACGGAGTAACGTAATAATATTACTGTGTATTATTGTAATATTACTGTGGTTGACGGTAATATTACTGTCACTCACAGTAATATTAATTATTTTGGCTTTTTATTATGTTTACATTTGTTGAACGGTCAACATAGTAATATTACTCTATTACACAATAATAAGGAGTTTTATTGTGTTAATATTATTGTGCTAGAGATTAATATAACAATATTACTGTGTTAAACTGTAGTATATATAATTGTAGTATGTTTAACAGTAATATAGTTAATATTATTGTCAATCACAACAATATTGCTGTCTAAACAAAAAAAATGTTACAGAAAAAAAAAATCGAAAAAGTCAACGCCGGAGACCGGCGTTGACCTCCGAAAACTGGTGGCAGAAAAATTAGGAAAAAAAAAGTCAACGCTGGAGACTGGCGAAAAAATCTAGAAAAATCGAAAAGTCATCGCCGGAATCCGGCGGCAAAAATGTTTTTTTGAAAAAAAAGGTTTTGGGTCAAAATTGAATAATTTGTGAAATTTGGGGTCAAATTGAGGTTAAATTAAATTAAATGATGAAATTAGAACATATTAAAGTATGATGGGCTATTTTTATACAAAATTCTGGACCATGTGTGAACTTATTTGTAAAGGAGTTTATTCCCTAAATAAATTAAAAGAAAAAAAAAAAACCCCAAATAAATTAAAAGAAAGAAAAAAAAAAAAGAGCTTAGAAACATACTTGGGCCTGGAACGTAGTTTTGAATGCAATAAAACCTAATATTTCTATAATTCTCCGCCGTTTCACAAACCCAAAACATACCATACACTAATTAATTTGATTTTCCATCAAAATAAACATAAATACTTATCAAGCGCTTGCCGGAAAAAAAATATGAGAGCGGCGAGAAATCGAAAGAAGTCCGGTCATCTTTAACCTGTAACATCTTCCGCCGCCGTGCAACCACCAGCGACAACGCAATACCCAGTCCGATTTATCAGGCCGCTTTTCGCAGCGTTCTTCGTCATGGGAAACAAAAAAAAAGAAGTAGCCATTTTTGGAAATTACAGAAACTACTATGGATATAGAGTAATCCCATCTCCTTCTTCTTCTCATCTCCTTTTTCAGTATTAATTGTGTGTATGTTTTTTAACTAATTGATTGCCTCATTCTCTTCCTTAAGAAAACTGATGAAAAAATAATTAGAATGGAAAGGGGATACAGAATTAGAGATTTATGTTTACTATGAACTTAAAAATATCCCTTTACACTACAGAGAGTTGAGTGAGTAATCAAAACTAACAGTGTTTGTTGCCCCTACGCAACACCCTAATTATTGCTATGAAGTTACGAGTATTTATTTATAAATGCGCAGGTTGGTCAGAGTTTCGATGAAGATCCTAGAGTTAAGGTTATGAAGAGGGAATGGTTTGAGGGTAAAGATTGTCTTGACATTGGATGCAATAGTGGCTGGATTACTATTACTGTTGGTAAGCAACCAACTCTTTCGACTTTTTATTTCCTAATATTTTGATATGTTGTGCTCCAAGTGCATTAGTCTCAGTTTTTTAGTAGAACGCAAACTAAACTTCCTAATTAATTTCTCTGTTTGATTTTCTTTTCTACAGCAAAGAAATTTGGTTGTCGGAGCATTCTTGGCATTGACATCGACGGAGGTATTTTTTTCTGACCTCTTATTGCAGAAGTTGCGAACAAAATTACCTGTCAATATGACTGTAGTTGTAAGCTTTTTTAATACCATTTTAATGAGTGAATTTCTAAACTTTTCTCTTTACCTTTGTATTTCCATCCATCGTATTTTCTCTTGCCTGGAAAAGTTCGCAAATTCTTATATAGGTTAAAGAACTCGTAAAACGATTTTGATGGATAGCATCTTCACCGACTAATTTATACCAGCGAAAAATATATGCTTGGATTACTGTAGTGGTTGTGTGTAGAGCTCTGAGAAAAGCTCAAATTCAAGTTCGGTAAAATGAATCAGCATATGCGATAGTATTTTAAATCGTTATATAACTGTGATGAAAAGTAGACGTTGTCTTTGTTCTACATACTGAAAACACATGCAAGAATCTCGATGGTATGTTCCACATCATGCATGGTTCTCTTCTCGTTTTGTCCATATTTAGCCAACTGACTGCTTCTTATCGACTTTCGATATCCTAATGTAAAAAGAGAGATAGGGTGTTGTAGTACATAAACCGAGTCTTGTAATTTTGGCCAGTGCCATATAAAAACTCTACTCCAATCTCTGCTGTGATCTTGCTAGAAAATAAATGATGATTATTTAACGATAATTATTGGTCACATTCCAGATCGAATCGAGGATGCACAATGGACGCTTCGGAAAGTTGTTAGGGCAAGTGTGACTTCTAAATCAACTAATACAGATAAAAATGCAGATGAATCATTAATTGAAGAGAAACGGGACAATTCTGGTAATTCCCCTCTTTCGGGGGAAAAGGATCTGCTCGATGTAGTCTCGTTTCAGAAAGGGAACTTTGTTCAGAATTGGCATCCACCAGAAAAAACAACTTACCATGTAATCCTTTGGTAATACTTCTTTCTTTTTCCTATACTATATGAACTCTATTCAAGTTCTAACCGAAAACCGAAAACCGAAAACCGAAACCGAGTTTAGCTACACTTGAATTTTTCTGAATCTCGTCTTGTTTGCAGTGAGATAAGGCATGAATGATGATATAAGCGAATGGATTAATTATAAAAATAAGAGATGGGTTTAATTTTAACTTTTATGAAACATCATGTCATACAAATCTTTATGTTTATACGAGAAAATCGTGCTAAAGAAATTGATTTTGTTCCTTGGCAGTTTAAGCGTGTCAAAATGGATACATTTGAACTGGGGTGACGATGGATTAATTACATTGTTTCAGAGAGTGTGGACGCTTCTAAAACCGGTATTCAACGCATGCAACTATTTCTTTTTTCATTGTTCGACATTCATTCATTGATGCATTTTTGTTGCAAATACTTTTTTTAAAAAAATATTAGAAAAGCTAATCGAGGTTTCGTTGCAGGGTGGCATTTTTATATTGGAACCCCAACCGTGGAGCTCGTATTATAACAATCGTACCGTGTCGGAGGTATGTATATTATTTTTCAACATGTAAACGTGTGAATTCACTTTGAACAATGACTATTTTGATGACTGTACGACTATCATCGACTGACAGTTGGCATATTTTGCAGGAGGCTTCTGCCAACTATAAAAATATTGAGATACCTCCGGAGGATTTTCAGTATGTGCTTCTGGACAAGGTATATTAGGTGTTTGTTTCATTGAGTCCCCGTTGTTTTTAAGTTGAAATAAAATCGAGATTTTGTTCTTCTCTGTTGTAAGTTGAATGGAAATATTTTTGTATGGCAGATTGGATTTCGGAGGGTAGAAAACCTTACTTCCAGCTTAACTGGTACCCAACCCGGATTCAACAGGCCCATCTTGGCTTTCTGGAAGTAATTTCGAGGGGTGATTTCTTTTCGAGAAAGTAAGTGATGTACGAATGCTATCTATATAGACATATATATGTATACAATTAAATCTCTATAAATTAATACAACGGGGACTAACAAAATTCTATTAATTTAGTGAAATATTAAATTAACAAATTAAAAATTTAGTACATTTTTACCGAGTCTGCACCGGAAGAAATTATTATTTAAGCGATTTTATTAATTTATCAAGGTTCTACTGTATATGGGATTTGATAAATGCAGGACAAATTTTCAGTAAATGCAGGATGCATTATTTAAAAAACTAAAACCTAATTCCTCTCATTTCTTTTTCTCGACCTGTTTTTCGTAAATTTTCGACGATAGAATAATATTATTAGTCAATAACCACGTAAATCTGTCAGAAACTTGGTATTTATTCGCAGACTTGTCTTAAAATTAAAAAAAAAATAGACTTATACCCTAGTAAGTTGAGCATACTACACTTTGAAGTGAGACGAGATTTTCACAGGCCTAAAAGAATTGGTCAACTTTTGCGCTTGGATTAGATGCACCAGCAAACTTGGATCTATCGCATATGCGCGTTTTTTCTTGTGATGTAAATCTTCTTAGTTCAAAATTTCGACTATTTTTAATCCAAAAATATCTGCCTTTGGGATATGGTAAATGTCTATTTTTGTAAACTTTTAAGACAAAAATGTATGAATAAATTTCAAGTTCAAATGATTTTCCCTAATTTAATTCTCAAAATCAGAAAAAACAAATTCTTAAACTTGAATTTAAAAAATACTTGATGTAACAAGTGTAAACGGAAGAGCGCATTTGTAGGATTTTTATCTAGAATTGGTATTGGAGGGAAATTAATAAAAGTCGTCTGCATTTATCATTTGAGATTTATATATACGTGTATAATGGGCCCTTGTGTTTGCAAAACTGTTATACGTCGCAATCTATTGTTGTAGAAGCTGGCCCACAAGACGAATATAAAAACTGTGAGTAAAAGTATTGTTTTTGTGCAATAATGATTGAACTGCAGTTGAGAGGAACAATAGAGGTTAGTAAAAGATTTGAAGGGCCAAGTTTCAACGCTGGCTTTATTTTTATTCATGTGGAAATAAAACAGCATTTATATTAGACAAGTGAAATGATTTATCGAATGCAGTTCATGCCAGGCAAACAAATAAAGCTTGATATGGAGGAAGACGAGCTTTATCAACACTCGGTCTCAAGTATTAACACTATGGAACAAATAACAATTCCAGAAAAAATATACATCCACACATTAACCACACACGATGATATTACCTCTCTTCTTGGCTGAATAACTTGGTTGAAGTGATTCCCGAGTTCAGTGCATTGCAATAGCATCTCCCATTTGCATAACCTGTTATATATATATATATATATATATATATATATATATATATATATATATATAGCTGGATACTGTTGTGGCAAACATCTATATCGTCCGTCGTACACTAACTTGAAATTATTCCTCACAACCACAAAGAAACACATAGAAGAAACCTTAATGAATGGTCAAACTCCTCATCAATATATCAAAACCACACAAGTTGAAGCTATGTATCGGAGATTAGACACCTTTAACCTACTTTCTCGAGCATTTCCATTCCATTAAGATAATAATACCTTCACAGAATCAACATGAATGCGCAACAATGTCATATGCACAGGCAAATGAGCAAGACTTCTTTTCTCTGTCTTGCCTCCTTATGTTGGTAGCACTCGTCAACACAACCTTAAATTATAAAACGCGTAGATATATATTCTGTGACATTCCAATTTACACAATCAAACTCATGCCTCACAGCAAGCTGCCTGCAATGTAGCTTCGACAACTCCAGCAAACGTTGCTTTGGATCTGTATTAAATGGACAAAAAAAGTCTACAGGCCATGACACATGAACATATCACAAGTATTTGGCAATGCTAAAACAACACCTCGTCATTCATACACTATACACACAATTTCATTAATCAACCAATTATGAGCAAACGACCGGCAATTCCTGTATCATTTGTTACCAATTGACGACATAAAATAAAAGACTCATTTTGGCATAAATTACATGTCCAGCGGAGATACCACCATCTTCAGAAGATAATTTCTCTGCTCATTCCACCCATTGATGGCAGTATACATAGCTGGAGACACCAAATCCTGAAAATTGAAAATTTATCAACTCATATTGATGGATTCGCAAGAATGAAGCACAAACGAGAGTAATCAAAAGTTCTGTTTCATGGTTGAACAGCCAAACACATCAAATCTCTCAAGGATAAACTATTAAATAACCTAATGGTAATTGACAGACAGCCATGGAAATTCATATCTTGAAAACCCGAACAATGAAAATAACTAGCTGATGCATCATAAAACCAAAGGTAATTTCCAATTTATTCCATCAATAATGGAACTGAAGTCTTCATACAATAATCATATATGTATTATTACAGCCAGGGAAAGAAAGTGGGAGGGGAAGGAACAAACCGAATACATAGCCATTTCAATCACTTAGACGAAGAAATTCGACGCAGGGAAGAAATCCAACTACTTGATGGACCAGAGTTATCGCCGTTTCCATGAGTAGCATTTGCTTCAGTAGATAATATAGGTTTTGAGGCATTTCCTTTTCCCACAACAGCAGGAGACTGTGATGTAGATGGCGCATGTGAATTGTTTAACACCTACAAAATAGTTAATATGTATAAAATTGAAATGAAACATGGAAATCATGAATATGATAGCTACAAATAATAATAAACAAGAATAAGTAACACCTCCATGTTTTAATCGTGATTAGTCATGATAGATAATATTTTTTTTTACTATGGATGAAAGAAAAGGAAACTAAAGATGTACATACAATAAGTTTTATTCCACTTTCGCAACCAACATGTGATTACATACATTTCTATCGAGAGGGCTCCCATGAATATAATTTCGACTTGTTGGTGATTTAAATTGGAGGCGAACACCAGGACTGGCAGCAGCGTCGTTTGACCTTATACGTTCACCCAAATCAGTCGAAAAAGGAGCATTATTTCCTGATAAGCCAAACAAGTAAAAGTTGCAAAATTAGCTTTCTCAAATAATATATTGTACACTACTCTTTCCAGTCGGTGATAAAATAATTCTGCATTTATTCTATATTCATGTCTTTCAAATATGTGGCCTCAAACCATGAAAAACTCATTACACCCCAGATTAACTTAGATTATGTACAGATCCCAAAATATAGTTGGATTCTCTGAATAAAGTATATAACTTATATTGAGCCCACACTCATACGATGGTGCTGAACCACACAAACAGCCTCCAAACAGGCTAGATGCCTACTTCCGCTCGAATCTATTATATTTTTATTTACCATTGTTCATTTACTAAACTGAAAGAAGCATAAAAACTAATTACCTTGATGTTTTTCCACAGCCCTTGGAACTGCTTCACTGCTCTCTCCAGTGATTGGCTGTGAAAAGCTCAAACATTAAACTCGATATAAATATGACAATAATTCAACAGTTCCAGGCCAAACAGATAAAGTACTAATTAATGCCTGCTTATGCAGCAATGATATGTAAACAAATTTAAGCCTTGCCGAGGGTAACTTCAGCAAAGACAAGAAGTAAGCTAGGAAACTAGATAAGGATGGATATCGACTGATACCCGTTTCTGCGTTTTACTTATTTGTGCCTGCTGGTACTTGAGAATGGTCCAGTCAAATATGTAATCGAACTCATATCCTGCAAGAAGCGGCAAAATACTAGTCTTAAAGACAGAAAATACTCAAGACTTGGACAATGCACTCCATTACTCCATCCCAGACTTTAGTTCAATTTTATTCCAAAAATCCAAAGCTCAACTAGTTCCCAAACCGAAATTGTAAAAACGGCAAATTAAGCATAATCATTCACCTTCACGGGTGAACAGTTCACGAAATAAGCGCTTCAAGAATCCATAGTCAGGCCGTTGGTCAAACGTCAAAGAATGGCAGTAGTGGAAGTATGAAGCAAATTCCACAGGATGGGACTTGCACAACACCTTCAGGAGAACAAAAAATATTGGTATTGCAGACAGAAGAGAACACACACAAGCAAAGGGAAGTAAGGAACTGAGAGATGTAAGTCAACATATGTAACCACCTCTATAGGAGTTGATAATTTTTTCTCACAAATCTTGTCATACTTCTGCTTCTTTGTGGCAGCTTTTAATCCCTGCCATGGAAGGCTATATGCAGACTTAAAGTTGGTCAAAAATGAAACGGTGATAATCAATTTGTTTAACAAAAGTAAATGATGTAATTGCAGGAGCATAGAAAATCACTGGAATACCTTCCTCTCAGAAAATACAGGAGTACGTATCCAAGGGACTCCAAATCATCTCTCCGGCTTTGCTCTACAAAACAGGAAAAAAGGGAGTTGACCTATCGTGAAAAACACCATTTAATACTCTTTGTTCTTTATTCTGGACTAAACATTAGAGAGGGAAAAAAAAAAAAGCATTTGTCTTACCAATCCCAAGATGGGTATTACAACTCGCATAACGTGCAGTTCCTGTCAAATTTTTATTCTCCCTGTACAAGCCAAGGGTAAAGTAGAGTATTCATGACCAGAAAACCACAGGCAGACTGTGTGGTTCATAAATGGAAAATACGAGCATACAGAAGAATCGTATTAGAATCTGGGGGGAAAAATCCAATTTTCATGATTCTCAAGATATGTTTCTCAAGGATATGTTATTTAAACATCAAATCAAGGACGATTTCTCAAGGAGTAGTAGTTTTATCAAGGATATGGTAATGAATCATTCATTACCAAATGAATGCAAGTGCAGAAATATTAACATTAAATCAAGGACGATTTCTCGAATAACCTTGAAGTTACAAAATGATCAGGATAGGAAAGCACCTGTAAGGAATATGGCGGTTCGTTGTTGAATCTCGATACCTTTTTGCCAGACCGAAATCAATAATATAAACCTAGGAGATAGAACAAGGATATAAGATTGAGAAGAAAAGAGAAATTGTGGGGTAAAAATATCGCAAAGAAAACAATAAAACAAACGCCATTACCTGATTCGCTTTTCGACCAAGACCCATAAGAAAGTTATCAGGCTTGATGTCCCGATGCAAAAATCCTTTAGAATGGACAAATTCTATTCTAGTTATCTGTATAGAACAAAAGATATAGATTTCAGCTCAAGGTGATGTTAATGTTTGAAAAACAAGCAGAAAGAGAAACGATGTCCATTTTTTCTCAGTTATGATCTTACCATTTGATCGGCCAACATTAAGACACTTTTCAATGAGAACTTCCGACCACAGTATACAAAAAGATCCTCAAGGCTCGGTCCAAGCAAGTCGAGGACAAGTACATTATCTTCCCCATTCACACCAGACCACTTTATACCAGGTATACCACCTGACAGGAGACCACCCATTTAAATAAGTTTTGGAAATACCAACTTAATACATAGCAACACTTCTTTCATTCTTATGTGCCCCATACGTTAATGTAAGCTAAGAAGCATGAATTGGAAGTAACTTAAAAATGTCACAACTTAATACTTGAACTTAAAAATGAAGACCATATTTATGATGTTCGCTATCACGAGAACAAATTAGATACTAATTATGTCCTAGATCACAATAATTATGATTCACAACAGATAACATTTGAGAGTTGCCTGATGCATACAGCAAGTTTTAGTTCCTTTAAATCTTAGATGCAAGAATGCATGCCTAACAGTCACAAATGAACATTTTATTCAAGACACGACCTAATAAATACAAGAATCCCCTAACTTATTAACATGCACATGCAAACTGAAAAGACAGATGCACACTGAATTATTTCGATGTTGGGTCATTTTAGATGCATTTATTTATACATACTTCCTCCTTGAAGAATGTTGTACAATTTGGCCTCATAAAGAAGTTGAGGGTGCTTCGTTTTATTATTTTCCTGCAAAGAAAAACATATGCCATAGATCAGGTCATTAGCAGTCAGCATTAAATGATTTAAGCCCTCGGAGATTTCTTTTAACTGAACCTCCTTCTAATTTCCTGCCGCGTGAATTTCCCACGAAAAATTAAAACATGCTAAAATAGATATCACTCCAAACAAGTTGTCACCTTTAATCAGGCAAGAAAGCATCGTTGCACTCGCGAGTGGATTAAAAAATGATTCTATACTAACAATAGGAGTTCAAACATACAAAGGCAGAAACAAAATCACCAGTTGATTTGAGTTTCCCAATTTCTAGTTCCCAAACAACTTTATGAATATATTCGAAATGAACTACACATAGCTCCATGCAAATTTCAAACCCATTTCAATTAATCAGCAGCACATAAACACGGAAATTTAGTAATGAAAATTGAATCATCCAATAAAGTTACAGATGTCGTGACTTACGATCTTCACCGCGACAATCTCAAAAGTATCAATATGCGTAGCTGTGGAACAACAAAAATTGGCATAATTCAGCACAACTAAATTAAAAAAAAAATGAATAAATAAATAAAAAAAAAAAAATCGAAAGCATAAAGAAGCATATATATATATATATATATATACTGAAAGTAAAAGGAAAGCTCACCGAGAAAAATTTCACCAAATGATCCACTGCCGATCTTACGGCCTAGCTTATATTTACCTCCGACAATCCGTTCCATCAGATCAACGGCCCAAATCCAATCTCAACAACTATCATCAAATCGATTGAAACTCCTCAGAATCGTTGTGTACAAAAAGGCAATTGAAATTTTTTTCTGTATGAAAAAATGGAAGCCACACACATACACAGAGTAGAGGGTTTGTTGGGTATAGGTGAAAAGTGACAACGGAGAGAGAGAGAGAGAGTTTGACGAGTTGTTCGTAGCTCACGAGGGCTGGCAAACTGATGTATTGGATTTGGGAAAGACTAAAGAGGATGAGGAGAGAGAGAGAACGGGGAGGTTTTAGTCATTTCATATGCATTGGGTAGGTGGTACTCTGTAAACAATTTCTGGAAATTCCGGTATTATGGTATTGATACGGGTTAATATGTACTGTATCGAATAAATAGTTAATAAATATTTTTTCTTTTTTTTTTTTCTTTTTTTGATTTTTTTAGGGCTATGGTAAATAATAAAATACTTTTAGATTGAATTTTTTTAATTAATTGCAAATTAACCCCATTTGAAATTTGAATGTAAAATTCAAGAATTAATTAGTTTAAATATATATTTTTTTACGTTGTTTATAATATTAAAATATATTTTTCGATTTTATTGGCACCGAACCAAAAAAAAACCGAATTAATTAGGTAAGAAAATTGTACTGAACCGAATAGTTCGGTACGGTTAGCAATACAAAGTTTGAAGTACCGAAATTCCAGTACAATTCCGTACGGTATTACCGAATGAATACCCCTAACGTAAAAAAGGAGAATAACAGTTGTTTACATGTCACCAGTTATTCTTGTAGATACGTACAGTTCTAGGGGCGGAAATCGGAAGAGAATTTCCAATTTCCGTTGACTCCATCCAGGAAAACTTCGATTTTGGAACGATTTGCGCAGACTCCAGCTGGTTCTTATCAGAGGGGCTGGAGCGGCTAGGGTTTTTGGATTCAAAAATAACATTTCACATTATTTTCAGCCCTCCTTATTAGGGTTTCTAAGACCCTAGTGAGCCTAAGTTGATCCGCCCTGTTAAGCTGTTGGGCCCTCTCGTTGATGACCCATTTCTAATAAACGATCGCTCGAAAAAATGCAATGATCACATATTCTTGACGAACACATCGTACTCGTCAATACGAGTGCCACTTGAAATTTTCCAATTTCCAAAATTGGACCGGCTAAATCGGGAAACTTTCCCAATTTAGAATGTTCACAAACTTTCCACAAAATTCTCTCTCTGTTTATTCGAATCAACAATCAACATTAACGAACCTTGGATCCAATCACATTGACCTCCAATTATGCAAGGACCAACAACTTGATCTTAGCTCGTTGTATTCAAGGATCTCCAGGACACGCGAAGTGTAACCCTCAATGGTCCAACTGTATGCTAGTCGTGAGATCCACAACTCTTTGTGACTCTTTGTGATTCCAACAACACATTGTTCATAAACGGACTCGTCCCTAGAGTCTCAATTAAGATAAAACTCATTTGAACTTAATCGTCGATCCAATCAGCGAATGTCTAACGAATCAAGATTGGCGTCTAGCAACTACGCATCATGATTTTCTAGATGCAAATAAAGTGCCTGCAAGTACCGTGTGAAATAGTTAATGTATTGTGCGATCCCTCCAACGCATATGTCCCGATTGAACTAGAGGCATTGGTCTAATGAAACCTCGAATATAGTTCAATAGTTGTGTGAATGTTCTAGGTAATATAATTTGTTTGTGTGTGACTTAGAGAAAACCATTTCCCAAATCACCACTTTGTCACCTGTGTCGAGAGAGTCGGTGGATTACAAACCGTTAGAACACACATGACATCCATGACTAATCAATCCCTTGAATCCCCTACTACAATGTACAAAGTTGTTCGGAAACATTGGGCCTTGTCTTCGAAGATTGCCGAGTGTAGGTCTTACACTCGATTTATATTCTTTTACGTGAATTTTTGTTGTGTTTTATTGATTTTTGGTCCCTAAAGACTTGATTTACATGGTTTAGGTGCGAAATAAATGATCGGACGTTTGGAGGTCAAAAATAGAGCGAAAACATTTGAGAATGGAAAAAAACCAATCGGAGACAAAAAAAAAAAAAAAAGGCCTCGGATGGCCGTCCCAAGAGGCGAAGTAAAAGAACTCGAAGATTTCAAGAATAATTTTTTTTTTCTTTTCATATGAATTATACTTTTATGTTGATAATACTTATGAGTAGCTAAACTCTTTTATTCTATAATTTATTTAAACCATATATCGGATTACTTCTTTAACTTGTTTTTTTAAGTGCATGAAATTAGTCACTATATGTAATATAGAGATTGAGGGTTCCCTACTCCCCTTATGTTCCAAATAAGCACTAACATCCGGAAATTATGTCAAGAGTTTGAAGGGCTTTAGCCTGACTTGGTCTACCCCATTTTCTTTTGGGAGGTGCTGTACCTTTCTTTCTAACAACATTTTGAGTCGGTGCTAAAGAATTCTTTCCAATTTTCTCAGTAAATTATTCTTTCTCATCCTCATCTACTAATGTATTAGACTCTTCGTTATCTTGTTGATGTGTCTTAACTCCTGAATCTTCAGATAATGATCATTTGTCTTGATATTGTGGAACTAATTCAACCAATTTTTCCAATTGATATTTGTTGGGATTGTCATCTATATCAATTAATCCAGCTTTCTCTAGCAGCTCAAACATGTTTTGATTTTGAAAAGGTTGAACTTAAAAATCCTTCTCAGATGTTGTTTACCATTAAAAGTTGGACTTTTGAGCTCAAGCTGTGGTGAAGGGGTTGTGTTTGTTTCCGATTCTTTATTTGCATTGGTTTCTTGCACTATTTCTCTATTCCTAGAGGGCTCAGTATTAAGTTGATCAGTATTTAGGGTTGCTGGAGAATCGACTTTCATCTAGGATACTTGAATCTGTTCAAGTCAATGGATTATCATGATTAGTGTCATTGACCCTCCAAATTTTCTTTTGCATATCACCTTTCTGATCATTGTTATTGATACCTGAGGTTGGGCCAGTATTACGAGGTCATTTTTTCAAACGTTTTCGACACTCTACGCTAATATGTCCCAAGAGTCCACAATGTGTATAGAAAGAGATATTGCCTTTATAATCAAGTTTTTGTCGGAAGCCCCTTTCTTTGGTTCATGCAATTGATGAATTTAAATTCATCGAAACTGTATGATGGAAAAATTATTTTAATTTCCGATGTGTTATGCATGTCGAATTCCAACAGTGGTATCAAAGCCGAAATGATATGATGATGTGTTTTAATTTGAATAGCACGATTGTATTTACAAATTGAACTGATTGATTTTGTTTCGATTAATTTAACTGGTTTAATTTTGGCGATGATAAATATAATATCCTAATTTATTAGAACCCTAATGCTAATCATAATCCTAATACTAATACTAATATTGATGTTAATCATAATATAATGATAATTATAATATGCTAATGCTAGTCCTAATCATCATACTAATCATAATATTAATTCTAAATTCTTAGCTTAATCTTAATACTAATCATAATCCTAATCATAACGTTATTACTAATACTATTATTAATAGTAATACGCTAATGATAATGTTAATGGTACTAATACTAATATGCTAGCTAATATTAATACTAATCCTAATAGTAATGCTTAATGCTAATCCTAATCTTCTAAATATATCCTAATTTGCTAATACTAATATGCCAATGATAATGTGAATATGCTTTCCTAATCCTAATACTAATCATAATCTATGAAGCACAAACACGGGAACGGGGACACGGTAAAACGGGGAAACATGCACGGGGAAACCCCATTTTTCCAAAAAGTTGGATACGGAATCCTCGGGAAACGTGTAAATATTAAAATATTGAGTTACATCCATAATTTCTAAAAATATTGATGGTGCTCGAATTTCTCACCCTCAAGACCTTCTCCGAAATCCTATTTTGAGCATTGCCGGAGAATCCACCACTAGCCGGATCGGACAGCGGTGGCTAGATGTATAAAGAATAAAATAAAGTTTGTAGAGAAAAAGTAAAGAAATATATTATTGATGTATTAAAAACGTAACCCTAATGAGGGTTTTTACATGTGTTTATATAGGTGAGTTAATAGAGGTGTATAATCAGCCAATTATCTATAAGTTGCACGTTTCCTTCTTAATTTATCCAATATTATCGCCTTTCCTTGTATAAAATATCTCCTTTCCTTCTTCTTCGAGTCTTCTCATGCAATTCGCGGCTTGTCCTACGAGTTAAGGCCTAATTTGGGCCACAAATTCGTACAAATTCCTCCGGCCCAGCTCGTGTTTCCTCCGCTGGCCTATTTCCTTGGGCCCAACCCAAGCTTGCCAATAGCTAAGCCAGGCGGTAAATGGCGTATGTGCATAGATTTTCGGGACCTCAACGCCGCATGTCCTAAAGATCACTATCCGCTCCCCAGGATAGATCAGCTGGTAGATGCTACAGCAGGATGCGAATTATTGAGCATGATGGATGCATCGCAAGGATATCACCAAGTCAGACTAGACACCATAGACCAACCTAAGGTTAGTTTTATCACATCAGGAGGCACATTCTGTTATCAAGTTATGCCGTTTGGTTTAAAAAATGCGGGTGCGACATACCAAAGGCTAGTAGACAAGGTGTTTGCTAAGCAATTAGGGCGAAATCTAGAGGTGTATGTAGATGACATGCTAGTAAAAAGTCGCAAGGCCACATCACACATAGATGACCTCGCGGAAACCTTCTTAACGCTGCGGAGATATGGCATGAAGCTGAACCCTGCTAAATGCTCTTTCGGAGTCTGCACCGGAAAATTCCTGGGATATATGGTCACTAAACAGGGCATAGAAGTTAACCCGGAAAAAGTGAAGGCGATCACAGCAATGACTGCCCCAAGGACAATCAAAGAAGTACAAACGCTGGCGGGAAAAGTCGTAGCACTCAGTCGGTTCGTATCACGACTCGCCGAACATAGTTTTCCTATTTTTCGAGCGTTACGAAAGCGAAAAGAGTTCGCCTGGACGAAGGAATGCCAAACCTCCTTCGAAAATCTGAAACAGGTCCTTTCGAAACTCCCTTCGCTATCTCCCTCAGAAGAAGGAGAAACTCTCTGCATGTACCTAGCTGCAGGGAGTGAATCCATCAGCTCAGTATTGTTCAGAGAGAAAGATAAAAGACAGTTGCCCGTGTATTATGTAAGTAAAAGGTTGGTCTGGCACTCATCACAACAGCAAGGCGATTAAGGCCATACTTTCTATCCCATACTATAATAGTAAGAACCAGCTATCCTCTACGACAGACGTTGGGGAACGCCGAAGCATCTGGGCGCATGGTCAAATGGGCCGTGGAATTAGGCCAGTACAATGTCGAATACGAGCCCCGGACCGCAATAAAAGGGCAGGCGCTGGTGGATTTTCTACAGGAAACTACGCGCATTGAGAACTCACAGCCATGGGAAGTATATGTGGATGGATCTTCAACAAATCAAGGTGCAGGAGCAGGTGTGTTGCTTATAAAACCCAACAAAGAAGAGTTCCACTTCGCTATAAAGTTCAATGTTAGAGCATCGAATAACGAAGCCGAATACGAGGCCTTGGCGCAAGGACTAGAGATAGCACAAAAAATGGGAATAAAAAAAGCCAAAGTTCACTCCGACTCTCAATTAGTCGTGCAACAACTAGCGGGGGAATACGAGATCAAAGAAGTACGAATGGAAGCATATGTGAAAGTTATCAAAACATTGGTCGAAGGCTTTGAAGAGTGCGAAATCATCCAGATCCCGCGAGAATCAAACACACAAGCTGATTTCTTGTCCAAAATTGGCAGTTCATCCGTGGACTGCAGCGAGCGGAATATAACCATATTATCAACCAGTGGACGTTTCTTAGGAAGTAATGGTGAAAAACTTGTTGCAAGTATAGAAGATCAGGAAGATTGGCGAACACCAATCATTGCTCATCTCAAAGGCAATACAATCTCAGATCGCCGCACGCGAGAGCGAATGGAATACAAGGCCCGGCACTTCTACTTAATAGGCGAAACCTTGTTTAAGAGATTGTACTCGCATGTAGATGCCAGATGTCTAGGAAGCAGCGAAGCTGAATATGTGCTGAAAGAGGTACATGAAGGATGGTGTAGCAACCATGAAGGGGCGAGAACAATAGGGGGGAGTAGATGATGGGGCCCATTTTGGCAAGCTTGGGTTGGGCCCAAGGAAATAGGCCAGCGGAGGAAACACGAGCTGGGCCGGAGGAATTTGTACGAATTTGTGGCCCAAATTAGGCCTTAACTCGTAGGACAAGCCGCGAATTGCATGAGAAGACTCGAAGAAGAAGGAAAGGAGATATTTTATACAAGGAAAGGCGATAATATTGGATAAATTAAGAAGGAAACGTGCAATTTATAGATAATTGGCTGATTATACACCTCTATTAACTCACCTATATAAACACATGTAAAAACCCTCATTAGGGTTACGTTTTTAATACATCAATAATATATTTCTTTACTTTTTCTCTACAAACTTTATTTTATTCTTTATACATCTAGCCACCGCTGTCCGATCCGGCTAGTGGTGGATTCTCCGGCAATGCTCAAAATAGGATTTCGGAGAAGGTCTTGAGGGTGAGAAATTCGAACACCATCAAATATTATAACATTTAATTTATATATTTATCCTCAATTACATATTTGTATCTACAAATTATATATAATTTACAAGTTCCAATCCGAAATTATCATTCCACAAAATATATTTGAGACACATAACTTTATTTCAGTATGGAATTAACATGTACAAAAAATATTAAAACACCACTAGAAGTGAAAAAGAGGCATAAGATTTAAGATTTTTATAAGCGTAGGCAATTCTGAGTCTTCATTTAAAACCGGTTTTGAATTTTTTTGGGTGGAAACGCGTTTCCATTTTATCATTATTACCATAAACATCCCCAATTTTTTTGAATATTTATGGAAATGACCCCGAGGCGTTTCCGAATTGTGTCATGGCGTTTCAGTTTCTGAAACTTGGGAACACATGTCTATAGAAGTTTTCATGCATCATAGATCACAATATTTAGCATAACCCTAGTACTAATCCTATTCCTAATCCTAATTAGTATACACTAATGAGAATGGTAATACTAATACTAATATATTAATGTTAATGCTAATTATAATCCTAATACTAGTGTAATGCTAATCTTAATCTGCTGATACTAATATAATAATCTTAATACTTGTTGGCGCCAGATTTTTACCGATAAAGAAATCCGCCACACTTGGGAAGTAAAGATTGGCAAAGATTTGTTCCCATGTTTATTTTGGAAATTTAGAGTCCTACATTTATAATACTTTAGGACTTACATTTATTTCCTTGTACTCTACTCTAGTTAGGAATCTTTTATAGTTATCTAGATTAGAATTAGATATTGATTAGGATTCTGTTTCCTAGTTATTCGATTCCTTTGGAAGGTAGGTCTTTGGAGGCCGACTTCACGTCTATATAAGGCTTCTCCTCTCACAAAGACCGTGACATTTTTTGGGAGAAGAATTACTCCATAGCTTTGAAGAATTGCTGAAACGTTCTGCTGGACAGAACTGTGCCATCGTTGCATGTGTCAACATATACAGATCTGCTGTATAGATCTCAAGGGAGATCAACCGCGTCGCTGAAGGGAGTTCAGGCCTGAAAGGAGTTCTAGGCACGCGGTGTGGAGCTGCTGTTGGAAGAGACACGGAGTTCGAGTTGTGTACAAGAACGGCATAAAGAATTAAAGAGGGAGTCTTAATTATTTTAATAAGTCTTATTAATGTACACTGTAAATCTGAACTAGTGAAATCGTGTTTGCAGGTCCACGTGGATGTAGGGCACAGTTGTGTCTGAACCACATTAATTCTTGTGTTCTGTTTATTTGCTTTAGTAGAATATAACTGTGTTAACACAAGAATTACAGTTGTAACTAAAACATTGTTTCGACTAATCAAATTGTTACAACTAGAGAATTACTGAATTTATAGGCATATAAATCTACAATGCTAATATACTAACGCAAGGCTAATTCTAAGACTAATGCTAATGTTAATCATAATCATATATGCTAATGCTAATGCTCATGGTAATAGTAATAGTAATGCTAACGCTAAGATTAATCATAATCCTATTATGCTAGTGATGAGGCCAATACTAATCCTAATTATAATCCTATATTAATCCAGATTTAATGTAAATGCAATTTCTAATTCTAATCATAATCCTAATCCTAAAGGTAATGGTAATTTTATTCCTAATTTGTTAATGTTAATGTTAATGTTAATTCTAATCCTAATATGCTTATATCAATGCTAATGTTAATCCAAATTATATTATGAATCCTAATAATAATCCTAATACTAATGCTAATTCATTATAATTCCAATGTCGATCGTAATTCTAATAATAATGCTAATACGAATGCTAATCATAATCCTAATACGTTAATCATCATGTTAATGTTAATGATAATTATAATATGCGACATCTATTATAAATTATATAGATGCCATATTTTCTGGTAGGGCTGGGACCAGGATGGTTTTTATCCACCAACCGATTCATTACCGACTATATTTTTAGGCGGATAATAATTTTTTAACCAATCCATTGAACCGGATCGAAAATTTCAACCAACCCAACTATAATGGGTCGGTTGGTGATTTCTAATATTGTCAAAAGTTGGTTGATCGATAATTACCGGTCAATCAACTATATTATTAAAATTTTATTAAAAATTATAAAATTAAGGGTGTGTTTTTTACTTACTTTGAATTTCTCAATTGTTTTTTTTTGTCAAATTTCTACTAATTATTTTTAACCGATAAATGATGATCGCGTTGTGGCATTACGCAAAATGTGCATATTTTCACTCCAAAATTTGATTACTTTTTTATAAAGTTGACTAGGTGGGGGTATAACTCATCAACTGACCCATTCCGGAACCGAATATTTGGTTGTCAACCATCTACCGATCCACAAAGGTTGGGTCGGCAACGGTTTTAAAATTTGAGCACAATTAATTTGTTGGATGGGTCAGTTTTTAGGCTGGTAATCGGCCCCCGACCTAATCACAGCCCTACTTTTTGGTATTGTAATAGGCCGTTTATTGCTTGGCATTTATAAGTATTCTTATAAACCTCTTGTAAGCATGTTAGGTGCTAATAAATTTGGTAAATTCCATTATCAATTTGATAAGTTATTTAATAATTGAAGATGTTTTATAATGTTTTCGAACATAACAACTGTATGAGTTTATAAAGAGTTATATATTTAAATATTAATAGAACTTCACCAGTACGTTGCACTGAGGTCACCTTCATACTGATATTAATAATGGTATTAATATTCATACTCATACTAATACTAATACTAATATTAATACTAATATTAATACTAATACTAATATTGCTACTACCATTGATACTACTACTCATATTAATACTGACATTAATAATGATACTAATACCGATACTAATGTTGATATTGATACAAATATTGGTACTAATATCAATATTGATAATAATAATGATACTGACACTAATACAAAAATTAATATTAATACTAATACTGATACTAATATTAACACTGATACACATACTCATACTCATACTAATACTAATACTAATACTAATACTAATACTAATACTAATACTAATACTAATACTAATACTAATACTAATACTAATACTAATACTAATACTACTACTAATACTACTACTGATACTAATACTGATATTATACTAATATTGATACTGATACATATACCAATACGTATATTGATATTGATATTGATATTGATACATATACGGATACTGATACGGATATGGATACGGATACAGATACGGATGCGGATACTGATACATACACTATTATTAATACTAACATAATACTCATACTACCACATATGCTCACACTGATACTAATACTTATACTGATACTGATACTTATACTGATACTAATACTAATATTGATAATGATACTGATACTGATACTTATATTGATACTAATACTGATACTGATACTGATAATGATATTGATACTAATATTCAAATTGATATTGATAATTATAGTGAAACTGATACTGAGTTGCTCATCTTCTTCAACATCGACTTTTTTTGTTGCAACTGAATTTTACACCAGAAAACACCAAAAAAAAAACTCAGATCGAGAGGAGATAGAGGAATAGGGAGAAATATACTTCAACATCAGAATTTGGCAGCGGTGACTCAAAACGATTGATGAAACCACAAACACAAAAACAGAGCACGATATCCTCTGATTATGCACTTTTCAAAAGATCCTCTCATCCTGCAATTTTCAAGAATTCAAAGAAATATCAAATAAATCTAAATTATGCGATTTTCATTTCTTGAATCCTCTGATCCTCTCATCGTGCATGAAATCAAGCAAAACAGAGCTTTCACACTTGGAGCATTTCGGATCACCTGCAAATAAATACAAAAAATAAATTACATCTGGTTTAAAAAAAATGGAACGAGATAACCAAATAAAATAAAAAATCAAATTAATCCAAAGAAAAATATTTTAATGTTAATTATTGACAGATCTTAAAAAACATAGTAGATCTGGTTTGAGTTCTCCCTCAACCAAAAAAAGAGAAGAAACTAAAACAATAATTAGAAACCATTTTATCAAACAAAAGTAGAAAGAAATATGAAATGAATTTAAAACAAAGAAAACCATCATCCATCATGTTTTTTGCCATCGAGTCTATTCGATTTGAACGGGTGATTCAAGGCGGCGATTTGGCAGCTGAGGTGCGGCGCAAGGCGGTGCGGGAGCAGATGTGGGCCGCGGAAGGGTTGTGGGGAGAGAGAGAGAGAGAGAGAGAGAGAGAGAGAGAGAGAGAGAGAGATGTAATGGCTAAGTGTGAGTGGAAGAGAGAAAAGGTTAGGGTTATGCCATGTATTGAATTGAAACTAAAATGACAAAACAAGTACTTAAGTTGCCAAGGGGGTCTTACAAACTAAGATCATAATTTAAATTTTTGACTAGGGCGGAAAAAAAATATTGAACCTCCTCATATATATTTTCAAAATTAGGTGTATCACTGATGTACCATTATTCTAATACTAAAAATGCTAAATGTGAATGCTAATGTTAATTCTAATTCATATTCTAAT